TCTGGTAGAGCTGGACAGACATGCATCGGATCACTGGGTTCCATTGATCCCTCCCGTCATTATATGCCGGAGCTGCAGTCTCTTTTCGTTGAGTGGATGGCCCTTGAAACATAGTTGCATGAACCGTACACTTTGCATCAGGCGAACGGGCCAGAACCGTGCCTTTGCGACAATAGATATCGCATACCCATGACGGAAGGGCTCTCCGAGAGGAATACACCTAGATATCGCGGGGGCCCTCAACTGTCCGCATTCTACGTTGTTCACAGCCTATAGATACTCCGCTCTTGCACATCTCACAACTACTTGAAAATACTCAACGCAAAGATACTCCTTCGATTTGAAGCGACTCGGCGAACGACGACTATTCGTAGCGACTGCCAACCAGTCTTCATTCATATTGCTATCTATACATGTACACTCCGCAGCATCTGAACGAAGCAGCTCTCATTGTGGCTTGTAACTCCTTTCAAGAGCAGCTTCAAGACGAACGCCGCCGGTCTCGCGAGCTCGAGGAGCAAAATCATCAGTTGAAGCGGCTCCTCACTGAGTACCAACTCGTTCGACCCGAGGACTACGGTAAGTTGCAACTGTCACTGACTAGTATTGTGTGGTTTCTGGCAGATTCTCGTACTCCTGACCGAAACGACAGTGCGTTGTTACTTACTCCAGCGGCAATGTTCGACGGCACTCCTGTGGTCGGCGGCGGCTACTGCCTGCCTGAGCTTTTGAAGCAGCTAGATCAAGAACAAGAAGCCTGTATATTCATCGTTAGGAAGATTCACAAACTACGGTGGGCTCATCGTTGGTACCTTCCCTGAATGCTCCTTTAGTTTCCAATCAGCGAGTATTCTAGAGCAGTACTTCTCTGGGTTCGGTGAAGTCAAGAAGGTCCTCTTATTACCGTGGAGGCGCCAGAAGTCCGTCGGCCCCCACCCGGGCAAGGCTCGGTGAGCCCCGCACTTGTCGTCGCCACATTACTTCATGTCAGTCCCGCCTCTATGGGCTTCGTCGTAATGAAGTCCCCCATGGCGGTTTCCAATATACTCGCGTTATCGCAGCACACTGTAGCTGGCTGGCCCATCAGCGTCCAAGTTTTCGAGCGCCAGGCAGACAAGTGTGGAGGAGGTAAGCCATTGAGACCTTCGAGATCGATACGGTCATCGTCTGTTCAGATTCGAGACGGTCTAGTATCACTTCGGACTTCTTCACCTACGAATGGTCATCCCCAGCGAGCACTGCTGCCACTCCTGCGGTCGAGCCTGGGCCTTTCACGGTTGATAGTGGCAATCCTGTCGATAACGACGACTACTCGCCGGCACTCTTTGCTGCGGAGTCCGTCCTTAGAGGGCTCACTGATGACTTCGCTAACCCAACAGGCTATTGCCACGAATGTGCCCCCTCAGTTGAGGACCTCGCAGTATCCCCTTTCTCCTTTATATCACAACCGGTGAATCCGGACCGTACGCCGCAGTAGCCACAATGCATATGTTATTTATGAGAGACCCAATACTGCAAAGTCAAGTAATTGGTGTTTCTATCGATTCACATTAGCGGCAACATCTTTGCATGTCATATCAAGGGAATGCCCCCATGAATATATAAACGTTCATTTCTGGCTGAGTCTCGCAGTCATCATCGATTTATGCTATATATCTAAATGCTCGGTCGTCCACATGGTCCACATGTATCACATCTCTGAAGTGGAAGCGTTTCCTTCGCTCATCGTTGTTTTGGGTTGTACTAATGATTCTGATGAAACTCGTCGGTAATCATCTCAGCGTTGATGTGAAGGGTACTCTGTCTTACTACAGAAAAAAACAAGCTGTGTTTTTTTCATCATCGCGATGCATGATAAGTGCGAGATATGTAAGAAGTGAAAAGTATGTAACACTTCATCACGGAGAATTTTAGTATAAACATTTGGCCACCTATTCCATGATCTGGTTGTGGCAAGCTCTTCCATAATGATGGTCGTTTTGTTAGAAGACAGCAATGGTGATACTCTCCACAACTCAAAACGAGATGAAATGAAGAAAGTACACATAGAAGCGTCGAGTACTGCGTGATGAAGTCGGCACTCCAGAGAGGCATCAACTATCTTCGCATTACTCACAGTAACCATCTCTGTTGGTAACCCTGAGCAGACTTCTCGACATGCATACACCAACGACCGGCACATACGGGAAGCAGAAAGTGACAAATGACCAGAAACATAGACCATCGATGGTAACCCTCGTTATCAGGGAACCGCACTATAGATAATAACTCATTGAAATCTGGAGAAGCTTCACTCGCCACGAAAATAATCGTACTCACTGCAACGATGAGACCCATCCACAACGGCCGGTTTGCCTTCATCGGCTTCATAGAAGGCGGCCCCTCGTAGTTGGCCAGAAATGCAGAGAAGTGGCAAGCAGCGGTCTGAATGAACATTTGAGAGTTCAACAAAGTTGGCTCAAACGCTGACTCTAGATCTACGGACTCCTCAGAGGTATATGAAACCGCGAGCTTCCAACCGGCCAGCAGTAGAACGACATGTGTCACCAATTGCAAACCGAGTGAGAGTTGTACACTCCAATGGAAAATGCTCGTCACTGGTTTGAACTGCGACAAGCGGCTCTCCGGTTTCGAGCGGCCCATCGCTGTGAAAATGAGCGATACCGCAATGCCCTCCACCGCTGATTGAAAGTCGCCAAACTTCGCTCCGTGGAGGGTGAGCACCGACAAGCTGAACGCTCCCAAAAGCGAATTCAGGGCGAGTATTTTGTACATGGTCATCACCACAGAATGGACCGCCCGACCACATCGAAGCACGAAGGGAACACATTTGATATATTCCCCACGGTAAGTGAAGGGGGCCGCCACACTAGCGTCCATGCCAATCTTCGCAATAGGTGGCCCATGGAGGTCTGCATCACGTAGTTGTTGCTTTCGCTTCCTCGACACAGGACCAGAGTCCGATGACAACAACGATATGCCAACATGGGCCGCTTTGAGAGCTCCAACGTCGTTCGTGCCATCTCCGCACATGAGCGTAACCCTGCCGTCAGCGACCATCCGCTTGATGACATCTTCCTTATGGACCGGAGACATACGACTGAAGACTGTGATCTTGGTCAAGTCAATGTCCGGCTTTTCAAGTAGGGCCCCAACCGATTTGCCCTGTACACACAACGTGTACTCATCACTGTGTTCGAATCCCCAATCTAGTGACACAGAGTAGTCCTCAGAATCGAATAGTGGTCGCCACTCGGAAGCATCATCGGACAATAACAACACACCATCAGATTCAGTCGACTTGAGACCAACAGACTGGGCCACTTCACAAGATGTGGACGGATGGTCACCAGTGATCATACACAAAGGTCTGACAACACCGAGATGAAAACTAAGGATTAAAAATGGTCAATAACCTACACTTTCCTGCCCATCTCTTTTAAATGCTTCACAGCCTTAATAGTCCCTGTTTTGACTTCGTTCCGAAATGCAATAAAAGCCACAAAGTGCAGGTTCTTCTCAATCTCCTCTCTATCACTCGTGTCGCTATGGTTGCTCACACGCTTATAAGCCGCAGCGATTACTCTAAGGCCCTCTCCGGCCAGATCTTGGTACGTCCTGTGTAACCATACCGTAACTTCTACACTTCGCACCCAACAGCTTACTCCTCGTAGTCTTGAGGCACCTCCTTCAGAAGAGTCTCCATCATCTCAGGACTGCCTTTGCTCAATACCAGCAGCTCACTAGCAGGGCCGTTCTCGTGCCTGACACCATGTCCAACAGGAGCAAAGGACCACCTCCATGCCGCCTTACTTCATCACAACGCTCATACGCTGCAGTTCACTGTTGAAGGGGAACCTAGCCATTTGGGTGTACTTCTGCGTACCGAAGATCTGGAACGTCGGCGGCCCACTTCCAGGGAGATATATTGCTGAGTGCAAAGACACGATACCGTAAATCAGCCGATTCATTTTGGTGTAATCTGGTCCCCTCCTAGGAGCCTACCAGCCGCATTAGTAGCAGTCCTAGCTGCCGTGAACATGGCCTGTTCTAGCGGGTCCCCGACTAGTACAGTAGCCATAGGGTCCACAGCGGTGAGAGTGTGGCAACAAGACAATACCAGATCCAGCAACCTAAGGAGACAGTGTTGGGCAAAATCTCATCGACACGCCGTGGAAGTCCCCAAATACGCGTTGTGATAATTTACTAGATTAATATAAAGAATTTATAAATTTTATAAAATACTTCAAAGTTAACATTTTGAAATCTCACAATTATAAAAGCCCTTCCAATAACAGGAAGGGCGCGAGTTCGAATCCCGCATCCGTTAGTTCTTCGAAATGCTATATTATGTACCCTCATCACGTCACGAAGCCCAATAATGTTATGCACTATATATTCCCAAGCCTAGATGGACGTCGCTATCGCCAACCCAAGCCCTACTTCCCCGAATCCACAGTGCTAGCCCCCGGCAACATCTTAGTCGCTTGCAACGTCATCTCCCCATTGGTTATCGTTCCCGTCTTATCAAAGCAACACACATCTACCTGAAATCACGAGGGGTAAACGCTAGCAACCACACCACTGCTCACCTGTCCAGCGAAGGGAAGCCGAAACGGTTCCGTACAGTAGACATTATTTCGCATTAGGTGACCCAAACACATAGTCACCGCAATACTCATTGTCACAGGGAACTCCGGAGGCACTACGTTAGTGATGATATGTGTTAAGGAGAGGAAAAGTTTCCACCTGGCAGACTTCATAATTTTATGCGAGAGGACAAATACACAAACTCACTTGGAGGGCGTGAGACTAGGCTCCACCACTAGACGGTAATAAGCAACGTATACAGATGCTACCAACGCGACCGCAATTAAATCCAACAGGAAAGTAGTAGCCTCTCGAGTATTGGTACCTAAACCCAGTCCCTTGTATAGGAAACCACCAGCCCACGGATCACCAGTGACACGTTCCGACGAATATAATATCGTCCGAACCAGCTTTCCCTGTACAGTGTCGAACCCCGTACGCAATACATAGCATACCGCACCTCGTTTGTAAGGGGCCTGGCAGCCACGATGTTCCCATTAGTATACTACTACACTACCTTCTTGAGGATTCCCGACTCGGCCGCATTGGGAGGGTTCGTCACTACCAGTCTCGTGCCAGAGAATAATATGTTAGATTTGTGAGCACCACGGCAGTCCAGTTTGATATCAGAAGTAGAAATGATGGCCTCCTTGAGATTAGGTGTGGACTCCCCTGAAATACAACAAGGAATATTTTACCCACCACAAAACGCCCGAATCGTCTTATTTTCTCGGGATTTTTTATATTTTCTCTCATCAACAGATGTCATCATCTGAGACTTTCCTATTTGTTTTCACAAAACGTCTTAGGAATATTTCCCGCATCGCAGCCTACCAGTCAGCATAGATTCGTTTACCACAGCCGACGAGCCAGCGAGGATCACCATATCAGCAGGCACCACCTAAAACGACAATCGTCCACGCCGATGCAGTTTTTGAATACTACCGGGTTGTTGGTAGTTACACAAACGATGTCTCCTGGTAGAAGTTTACTCGAGGGTATAAATGTCCAGCGACCTTCCCTCAAAACTGCTAGCTCATAAATCGGTGGTTTGATCGAGCGCGTCTCCGACATGTCTCGTATACGCCGATTTATCTACGGTCGAAATTGGCCGGAAAATGAAGCGCCTTATTACCGTCATTATTTCTAGCATAATGAGGAGGACTATGGTCATCAGAGAATAATACCAGTAACTGCAAAGAGAGAGTACTTGAACCATTCAGGAATCTATAATGTTCCCGTGGGAACTCATTTCTTGGCTAGGAACACATTCTTCAATCACTTTCCCATGTAAATAGGAGCATTTCTCAAAGCCGGCTGGGTTTCTGTTCCGCATCACCACGTACACGATAGACTTACTCATCGAATAACCATAAAAGTCCACAGACCATTTGGAAGACGAAGAAGGGCGCAGTCACGTGTTGTAGCAGCAGCTCTTGAAATTGTGGAATCTGAATGGTGCAGGATGCGAGGATCGAACCATGGACCTTTCGGTTACGAACTCACAGGCAGGTTGAGGGTATTGTCGAAGTAAGTGGCCTCCGCTTTAGTGATTTCTTTCTCTGATAATCCACGACTGTTGTTATAGAAATCCAATGTATGATCGACAGGGTATCTGACGTATTCCATACCAAGAGGACGCGGGCTCGAACCCCGGTCGGGACAAATGAACTCTCCCCTCTACCGTATACTGTACATAGGAGTTTCAAAAACACTGGTGAAGAACATATTTCACTTCGCGGGAAAATGATTGTGTTATTGGCCGTGAAGACATGCACGTCTTAAATTTGCATGAAGTATCATGCCATTTCACAGTAAACGGGTGAAACTAAATTTAATATTTCCCATACTTCGGATAACGGAGGCAGTCAACACACTGATCGCGTTATTCGATAGTGTAGTTTGCCAAGAATTGGACAGGAAAACAACGGAGTTTCACCCGTGATATGAAAACACTAGTGAAAAATATATTTCACGACCACTGCATATCACCGCGAATATCGAGTTCTACGCCACTTCACGTAAAACGAGCGAGACTCCATTAAATGGACACACGACCCGAAATAGAAGGCCCGCTGAGTGTCCCGAGGAATAGTCGAAATCATGTATTTGTCCCTACCCCCTCACGTAGTTGTTACTACTTAGGTCGATGGAACGTGCCGTCCTTATGCTCAAACACAAGCTTCTTCCTTTCACAGTCTATCCACACTTGCTCTCCGTTTCTTCTCTGTATAGGACAGAGCAGTGACCTTCCAGTGGTGACAACCCTGACAT